TTTATGTATCCCAGAGGAAGTGACAGTACATTCATCCCCTCTGTCCCTCTCTTTAAATCTCAGTATCACTGTTAACCTGGTGGGAAAATGAAAACAGTAACATGTAATGGACTGACTGCTTTTTTTCTTAATTGAAGAGAACAGTTCCCTTCATCTCAGCAGCACTGGGCTGCGATCTAAGGTTTTCATCCAAATTTCATTATTTGCCAACATCTTCCAAGATAAATGACCCCGACAACCTATAAGAAGGTCAAGTTAAGCATCTTCTCAGACAGATGACTTTCAGGTACTAGTTAAAACATAAATCCAATTTTTAGTTGTTGTTTGGCTTTTATATACATGTGTGTGTGTGTGTGTGTGTGTGTGTTGCTTAATCACAGTTCCAGTTGTAACTAGTTGAAAATTTGTTGGAATAAACATTTTCAAAATGCTAAAGCTTTTATGGAGCACATTGCTTTGGTGCCATTTCCAGTGGGGTAGGTTCTGAGTCTTAAAGTAGAAACTCCAGTCAGACAGGGTGAAATGAGTAAGAAAACTTGGAATTTTGGAACTGAAAAGGCATATTTGGAAGCAATTTCATGTGTACTTTTACAATAGTGTGCTTTGGTAGAATGAAAATACATATTTGATCTTCAAAGACTTCAAAACCCAGTGAAAGGGATTTTATTCTTCAGATAATTCTAGTTCTGACAATACTGCTCTTTTGTTCAATATTGTTTCACTCTGCTCATTTTGCAAATAGCTTGACACTGCATTTAGTGTTCCTGAACAGTTTGGATTGTGTGCAGCACTCAGCACATCACCTTTGAGAGCATGTGGTCTAACAAAATTTGTGCTTTTTGCCGCTCCTGGAATTTTCTCTTCTCTTTTTCCAGATTCAGAGTACGCACATCGTTACTGATTTTTACCTGTGTTCAGCTTTGTATTGTTACCAGTGAACAAAGCATGTGAACTGAACTCATACTAGAGTTTAAGAATAAACGTTATATTAAAATTCCAAGTATGTCAGAGAGTAAGAAAGCTTTCTTAAGAGTAAAATTGCTTGCAGAGTTAGTGTGATTAATATATAATGACAACAACAACAAAAAAGCGAGGTAACAAATTATTTTTCATATTCACAAGCAATAGGTCAGGTAATAATGGGTTTAAATCTCAGCAGGGAAAATTGTAGTTAGACTTTAAGAAAAAAATATTCATATGGTTAATTAAGCAGTGGAAGAGGAGATGTGTGGAAGCTCCATCATTTAAATATTTTACAGTGTGAATGGACAAGCATCTGTCAGGAGTGGTTGAAGTAAATCTGATGCTGCTGTCAGGCAAAGGGATGGATTTGATTGCTTCTCAAAAATGCCCCTTTACTGTTTGTGCATCATTTTCTACTAAAGTTGCCTACTGCCTGGATTTACCTAACCTCCTACCGGTCCGTAGACAGATCTCTCTAAAGAATGTTTTGTCCTCAGTTATTACATGCTGCTTGTAGATACTGAGCTCTGTTTCCCTCTAGAGGAGCACAAGGCCGAGTACAAATTAATGTTCTCGTGGTAACATGACCCCAAAGGCAGCAAGCAAATGCCTGCACTAGCTGATCCTCTACTATTTATTACTATATAGTCTCACCAGATGTAGTTTTCACATAGTCAGATACAGTTCAATGGTTTTGGGTTAATGAGAATAGGGGCTCTTGTGCTCTTGTGGGTATCTGGAGCAAAGGAGTGTGTTTCTCAGCAAACTAACCAGGGGAAGAAAGTATTTTGTCTATTGATACTACCTAACCACCTGGAGATTCAGACAGCACTTCAGAGACTGACACCATGATGCCTGTGATGGAAGCTGAAGATAATTTACTGGTTAGGTCTTCCAAGTGTTTCTCCCTGCTTACCAGCATCTTTCTAGTATTGTCCAGATTTATTCACTAGAAAATTGTCTGGAGCCAAGTTGTTGTTTCAGTAATGATAGCAGCTGCAGCTGTTGAGGGAGGTGAGTGTCAGTGGCATGTTGTTACATCTGTCTGAACCCCTTTGCGTCATTTTAATTTACAGTGGACTCAGCAAAATACTGAAAAGCAAGTTATGTTTGATAGATACCTCTGTAGCCTACAAATCAGAGAAAAAGCAGCAGCACTACTGAGAATGGCTGTGGCTACTGTAAGATGAAATTGTGACAGTCAGATCACCTTCCTCCTGTTGTCATAGTAGCAGACTTTGCAAAGGCTCCTGAGATGTGCACCCTGTGTCTACAAGAGACATTGTAATATTTATATACAGCACAGTGGTTACACCACATGCAGCTGGAGCTTGTGGTTTACTAGTCATTTAGCTGTTAATTCAAGATGAGGATTATGGAGCTCGGGAATGAGCTGAAATTCACTTCAGGGTCAAGTTTGTAGATGTTAAGAGTCAAGCTTTGTTTGGGACTATTTAACTGTCAATAGATGAGACAGAAATGTCCCCCTGCAGGAGCTGCTACTTGCTTCTGTTTAGGGGGATACTCCAGAAAGCGGTGGAGTGGTTGTGGCACTCTGCTGTCAAGGCAGCCCTCTAAACCCTTGCTCTGTTCTCATGTGGAAGCAGTTCTAACTGTAAATGGATATTGGTAACTTGAGCTGAGAAGCCATAAGCAGCCATATGCAGTGCTGTCCTGTGTCTGCCTTGTACACAGGTGGCTCCAACCACAGATGTGTTTCAGCAGTGCTAGTAGAATGAGCCTGAGGAATTCCTTGAATCTTTGCGCTTCTTCAGTCGATTATCTTAATTGCTAATCACTGCAATTGAAGAAGCAATTAAATACAGAAAGAATGGCTCGGGGTCTCAATCCTGTGTGATACTGACTTAGGACCAGCTTGGGCATAACGATACTGTAGCACTTAAGGGCACTCAGCACCTTGCAGGATCAAACCATGGAGTGACATCACCCCATCCCACCCCGACACTTCTAATCAATAATAAAGACAGAAAAAGTGGATTTATTATGAGTACTGATTGAATAACTAGATTAAGAGTAATTGAGGGCAAGATCAGAGAGATGAAGAAGCTTTAATTTCTTTGGGGACTGGTGCTGTAGCACAGATTTTATTTACAGTCTCCTGCCAGAAAAAAATCTATTGACTATTGGTGTCAGTTTCTAGTGGGCCACAGACTGCTCTAATAGCTGCAGTTACAACAAGGGATGTGACAAATCCACGTATTTGAGATGCACTGAGTACCAAATACTAGAGTTGTTTCTCCCTGGCTAACAAGTACAGATGTGTGTCAGTGCAAGACAGGAGCTTGAAAGCACTTAGAGTAGCTACAAGATGAGTGGGAGGGATGGGAACCTAATACTGCCACTAAAAAGCAGCTGACAGCTCAAAGAAGAACAGAAAAGCAATGCTGCGAGTGTCATGTTTTTAGTCTTAGGATAACAGCATATGCAGAAGGATGTTTGGGTTGGGCTTTTAGGATTTCTTTCCTTACAACTTATTCTACAGTTACTTTCATCATTCTCTGTTAGCGATTTTAAAGTCATCTTTGTAACAACTACTTGTGATGTCCAGAGAAGATAATTACAACTGCAGCTGGGCATTAACTGCAGGAGTAATGAAGTCTTGAGACCAACCTCACAGTTTTCATGTGAATGACTTGACAGTAATGTGTCAGGAAAAGAAAAATCAAGAAATATAAAGAAGGTGATCTAAAACATGGGTGTAAAGCAAAGCACTCCTAATAGCAGGAATAGAGTGGTTGGGCAAATCCAAATGGAGTGACACCAAGAAAGATTCCTGGGCATAGTTCCTCACTCTCTTGTAGACAGCGAAGTAACCATCACAGGAAGGACTATCAGTCGTTCTGAAAAAGGAGACTGCAATACAAGTTGTTGACTTTGGAGACATTTGTATAAAATTGTCCAGAAAAGATACGGAAGCATTGGATGACAAACAGACCTCAGAGTAAAGGAGACAATGTTGGACCATACTCCATAGTGTCAGCTGCCATTGCACTGTTGAGATGGGAGTAACTGATTTATTTATTGATAATGGAGGTGGCTTCTTAATGTATGTACCAGTAGAAGGTTCTTAATGCTAAAATGACAAAGCTACCCACCAGTGCATTAAGTGATCACACTTCTGGGTGTTGGTCTCCACAACTGTGTAAAGTCAGAGTGAGAAAACATCGGCTCCTGCTCTGAGGTACTGCTCCATTTTAAAAACATGGAAGTTCAGACCAGATTTCATCTGGCCCTTCTCTGATAGTGGCCAACAGCAACTAGAATGAAGAGTACAAAAACATGTAGCATTTTCCACACATCACTTAATAAAAACACTTGGCCTTCACCCAGAAACTGCCAGCAAATACTTGTTACAGAGTACTAGCATTGCTATGAGGTGGGTATTCCCAGACTGAGTCCTCTAAACCTGTTTCACATATACGACAATATAATGCACATGTTCAGCCAATACAAATTTGGGCTGAATATGGCTTTGATTTTATTCAAGTTTGTTTTCTCACAAAAGAAGTAGTAAGTCAATCTATTTAGATGAACAGAAAGGAAAACCACCAAACTCCATGGCAGAACTGGATTTATTTATAAGTTAAGGAATCTGAAGTTATCCTTAAAAACAAATAATATAGAAGCAAACACAAAACTTGTTCCAAAAAAACCCAGGAGAATGACTAAGTGAATAAAGTCATGCTGGAATCATATGAACAGAAATTACTATTTTCTGTGATCACTCACATTGAAAGTAAAACTAAGCCCTTAGCCCTGTCATTTACAATGCACAGAGAATCTGGAACTCTTGCCCAAAATTATTGACAATCCATTGTTTATATTAAATCATATGGGCTTAGTTGTCAACTCTATATTCATATGAAGCAGGATAAAATACTGTTTTCTACTATCTTTCATACATCTGTCCTTTCTAATGCTCCTGTGACCATACCAGAATGTTTAAGTAACCCGTGTGCCATAGGTGAAAATATCTTGAGTACATGAATATCCTTGAATTTCATTCCAAAGAAGATCTATTCTTCAGGGACTTTCAGCTCAGCATGGGTAAAGAGGTAATCATGAAGATCAGGAGACTGTGTGAAGAAGTATCTCCCACTTTCCTGAATTCCTGATTGATGTAGATGCTTTAATATCATATTGTTAATTTTCTTAAGCTCCTCTATGTTCTTCTTTTCAGCTGTTAGTCTGCTTGATATTTGATCCATATTGTTTCTAGTTTGAACTTGAAAAGGAAAACATACCACATTAAATTGGCAACATTTAAGTCAAGAGCATCATTACCCTCTCTGCATTCCCATGGGATTCTGTAGGGAATTATGACGAGTAAAAATATTAAACTGGAAAGCAACTGCAGGACCTAATGATTAGAAGTTGTGGTGGAGTTACCTGCTCACTACATTCTTTAATTGCTTATTTTCTGGTTTATTTAGTTTAGTGCAGAGTAATAAAATCAAATATGGCCCAGAAAAATGTCGCTGTCTTCAGGAGTGTATGCATTTCATTGCTGTTCACAAGAAAATGTCTTATTTAGGGGCTCCAGGGTGTGATTTGTGGGCAGCATGCACTTGTATTTTTCTAAAAGTAGAATTGCTAAAACACAAAGCAGACTACAGCCACATCACTGAATTTCCTAACACATTTAGATTAATGAAAAATTCTTGCAAATAGTGACATTTGGAGGCCAGTTTCCGCTGGATCACCAATATGTGTAACTGCCATGTGCACTTCTGGAGCTATTTTTATATTTCTATATTTCATAGAATCGTAGAATCATAGAATGGTTTGGGTTGGAAAGGACCTTAAGATCATCTAGTTCCAACCCCCCTGCCATGAGCAGGGACACCACACACTAGACCAGATTGCTCAAAGCCCCATCCATCCTGGCCTTGAACACTGCCAGGGATGGGGCAGCCACAGCTTCTCTGGGCAAC